TCTCTAATCAAGTTGTTAAAGATAAGCATGTTACTTTTGAGATGATAAAAAAATATTGACATCAATTTCAAGATTGATATGAGTAAAATTTAGAAAGAAAGGTGTATAATAATTTGGATGAAGATGGTATAAGAATAAATGTTTGGTTTATGTTGTAAGTCATTAGAGATTGATGAAAGAAATCAATGGACTCATGATGTTGAGTGATAAGGATTGAGATTATCGTATGGATGGAACCTTATTATTTCCATGATGAGCGACATTATATTTATACAAATTTATAAAGATTAAAAGGTGTAGAATCGAATGAGTGAAAAGATAGGAATTAATGTAATTCCTTGTTGATTGAAAATAAGTTTAGTAATTGCAACCACGAAGGGAAAGTTAAATACTTAAAGTCAGATAATGTTGTCATAGGAAGAGTTATTATTAAGTTTGTTTAATGAGTAGTAGGTTTGCAAGCAAAGAAAGATATCAAAATAGTTTTTTTGTGACATTGTGTAAAAGAAATGTTGGAAACTATTAAATTAGTTGAATAGAAATATTGAGATTTTGTATGGACGGATTGGATCAAAGAAGTTTAAGAAAAGTGAAAAAAAAGTAAGATAGTGGATAGTTAACAGAAGTTATATATATATATATTTAAAGAAAAAAAATGGAATTTCTAGATAAGTGATAAAGTATTTATTAATGTCTTGTTCCGAATAAGATTCTCTGTATAGTATAGCTCAGTCCTACATTCATTGAACCTTATGGATCTTTAAAAGAGGTGGATCTGTAGTATAACATGGAAGTGTAAATAAGATATAAGTAGACAGTTCCCATCTATTTGTACAGTGAAAATTCGAGGACAAATTTTCTTAAGGGGGAGAGATTTATAACATCCCAAAATACGGGTTAGTGATTAAATTGTAAAGTTTCAGAATTTAGTGATTAAAGTAAGATGATTGAATAGTTTAATGATTTGTTCAGAAATATTTCCTAAAAGTTTATAGTAATTATCCAAAGAATTAAAGGGCAAAATGATTATTTAGCATGAAAGATATTTTCCCCAATAATATGAATGAATTACGTGGGGGGTGGGGGGAAGAGTTATCTGAAAACTCTTTCTTCTTCTCCCAACCGTGGAAGCTAGGCAAAGGTAAGGGTTTTCTGATTTGTTGATTATTTGTTAAATTAAAGGTTAGGTTTTGATCATTAGATGATAACTAAGCTTAAGGAAAACTTATGTTGTCTAATAATCAAAAGATGAAAAAGTTATAAGAGATTTAAGAAAACGAGTTTTTATATGAAATTATGGGGAAGAGTTGATAAGTTGAATTTGAAGTTAAATTTGACTTGTCATCATGCTAATTAAGGAATATGAGGTGTTAGAATTGAATTTAGAACTTATGGAAAATTTAGTATGATTATTGAATTCTATATAGAGAATAGAATTTTGAGGTTTAAGAGAAAATAAATGGATATAAGTTAGTTTAAGTAATGGTGGTTGAGTTTAATGACATGATAGAGGTTTAAAATAGAAGAATTGAGTGAAGAATTGATGATTTTCGGGCTTAAAATACAATTTCTGGGCAGAGGGAACCGATACCCTATGAATGGGTGTCGATACCCCCTCTTGAACAAAAAATTCCAGTATGTTCAGGGGGTATCGATTCCCCTGGGAGGTATCGATTCATCCCTAAATGAAAAATGGAATTTGGTTTTTTAATTTGGTTTAAGTTGTTAACATCAAGTTTAAGGTTTAGGCTTCTGATAGTTGTTTTGAAATGTTATATTTATGTAGATATTGAGTCTAAACAAGTTCTGGAATAATTAAAGGATTAGGATCGAATCAAAGCAAACAAGGCTAAGGTGAGTGCAATTTTAATTGTACTTATATTATTGAACGAACATTGGTTTGCGATGAGCTAGTGATGGAGTTACTATGGTAAGAAGTGACTCCTAAAATGTTATTTGATTTGTGATTCTTATATGTACATGAATACATGAAATGGGTATAGGTTATTATATATGTTATATGATATGCATAGACATAAGAGCATAAAACATAAGATATATGATATGATATACATGATTATATGCATATGTAATATATGCTATGAGACATGACCAATGTGAAATGAGATAAGCTATGTGAATATATGAAATGACATATGAATATGCAATATGCAATACGTGATACATGTGATATGATATGAAATACATGGTTACACATATATGTGGTATGTGACAGAAGAGAAAGAACAAGTGACGAGAAATGTATTCATCATAAATGCCCATAGTATATGATACGAGAGCTATAGGTATAGTTGACATGCCAAGAGTCGAGGGTATTGTAGTCTTTCGGGACGTAGTGGTCCTACGGGACATATATAGCAGTCCTTCGGGACGAATACTGAACAAATGTTCGGTGCCCCATGAGGGAATTTATACGAGTTGTGGTGACAACATTAGTACACAACCTTAATGTACTAACATACCTTTGTTCTCAACAATAATATACATGGGCAATTGAAATATAAATTAAAGTGAGAGTGATGCAAGAAGGTAAATTTCATGTGTGCATGACTTGGTTATATATGTCATATGAAATATATACATGCATATTGAAATGTCATGATCAAATGGTAAGAATGCATATTCATGAATCTACTGTTACATGTTTATTTATTGCCTCACTAATTCTATGACTTAGCGTGTAAGTGATTTACAAGTAGGTACCAAGAATCGAGAAGAGCAAGAATAGAAGTAGCAAAGACAGTATTATTACTAGAATATCATATAAGAAGTAATCGACAAAATAGGTATTTTGTTGTGTATAGAGTGTTGGCATGTAATAAGTCGTTAATTACGAGTACTCTAATCGAGTTTGTATTTGTGGTCATTTTTATGTAAATTAACGTATTTTGCTTTAAACAAAGTTTTAAATTCCCGGGGTTTTTCTTTAAGTGTCAAAGTTTGAAAAGTCAATGTGATGGACAATGGATCGTGATGGGCTAGTGTTTTTGGTCTCCAAAACGTTTTGGAATAACTAGTTGGAATGTGGTATAAACCTGGTTGGTTTTTTATGGATCGGAATGTTACAATGTTAGTTGTAGTTTTCTTTTAAGTTAAATGTGATGCTGGCGGTGGGTTATTACTGTTTTATTGGAAATTGATTTTCCTGTATTCGACATCGGAAGGTATTTTTTTCCTTCATTTAAAATTTAAGAAGATTTTTAACGAGATACTCCCGATTATCTAATTCTGTATGTTTCCCTTTTATGAATACATACAATATCAACCCTTACAACAAAAAAACTATTATTCATATTATGTCTTAATTCATTCCTTATTTATTAAGATTTTTAATAACATTTAAGAATTAAATTATAATATTGATCATATATTAATATCTTCAATATAAATATAGATATTAATCCCTAATTTTTAATATGTTTCTTAAAATATAATGTTTTTCAGTTTGTCTTAAAGATAAAATCATTTTCACATTTTTATCTTAAATAGTTCTCCGAGTAGTTTATTTTTTGTTGTCCTATCGGCGCTTAAGGTTTCGCCTTAACTAGTTTGAATCGACTCGGGTTGCACACGTAATTTTAGTGAACAAATCTTCTAACGGAGATTTTCTACATACACAATGACTCGAATTCATGACCTACTTAAACGACATAAAAATATTTACTACTTGAACTAAATTCGTTGTGTTTTTTAAACGTTATATAAAAATATCATATATAGAATTTATGATTAAGCTACGGCGGATATGGATGGCCGTCAAGAGTAGCAACCTTACACGCAGGCAATCCATCCATGAAAACATGGCGAATATTGTGTAAATACTAGGTTGCATTATTACTAAATGGCCCCACCAAGACAATAGTTAAGTTAATCCATCCATGAAAACATCGATTAGTCATTTGTCTCTTATTGTTTCTGGCAATATACGGACTTCATTTGCAAATCTCACCACCTTAAAAGCATCGACATGTCCACTCACCCCGAAGTTTGCCGACAACCAGAATATGCTCCTTTGAAGGCCAAAGATGTATGCAGAAAAGCTTTTATACCTAAAATGACATCTATATTTTAATCAAATTATTAATATTTCATTTTTATCGTTACTCATTCACATTTTCTATTAAAGAATTTCAGTATGTCACATGATCTGAGAAAGTTTTATAACGTGTCATAAATATTTAAAAATTCTTTAAAAAATAATGAAAATTAAATTAATGCGTAAAACTGTAAAAGTATCAAGAATTTTACCCCAAAAAATCAGATTTTATATTTTTAAAATATATAAATTATATTTAATTCATTTATAAAAAATAAAGATTCATAAACACATTAAAAACAAAAATTCCACGATATTAAAAAATCTAATATTTTTTTAGTTTTGTTATGATTTTATTTAAATATTTTATTTCATTTCAAAAGAATTAATTTTTGTGCCTGAAATAATGTGATTGGACTAGAAATATGTCTATTGATTAAAAAATAAGCACTTTGAATATCATATTTTTCATCTAGTTACTTAAAGTATTTTTTGGTTAAAATAAATACTCAAATATATCACCCTTTGCATCTAGGTATAAAAAATATTTTATGATTAAAAAATATACAAATTATACTGTGTATTCTATATAAATTTTCGAAGTATTTTTAATCATGTCACATCTCAATTTAAGCATTCAAATGAAAAAAAATAAACTTAAGTGAGAATCTAAATAAAAATATGTATTTTAAGTATTTAATTTAAAAAATATATTTTAAATATTTTAAAAAATGATATGTATACCTAATTTTCAAATAAGCCAAAAAGGAACATAAAAAGTTAAAATGAATAAATTGGCCTTATAAAGTATACAGAAAGGAAATATATCCTTCCTATATTCTTCTCAGTTATCATCGCCATTTATACCCAATCTCACCTTCTTATATATTACACAGTCTGCAAGTCAAAATGCCATTGAAAACTTTTGTAGAGAACTTTAACCATGGAAAGAGCGCAAGAAGAGATGCAATTTCTGGGGTTCTTTGGCATATTCAAGGAATCCTATAAACTTATCTTTTCAGGGAGAAAAATCTTCAGCAACATCACTTTAGCCCTAATCCTTCCTCTATCTTTCGTCTACCTCGTTTATGCTCACGTTTACAGTTTCTTCGTAAGCAAATTCACTGCTGCCGACTACGACATACCATCCCAACTTATCTCCTACGATTGGCTTTACTTTTGGCTTTTCAACGCTGCCTACTTCATTTTGTTTTCCATCTTCTCGCTTTTTTCAACTGCCGCAGTCGTCTACACCATCGCCTGCATATATACAGCTCGGGAACTGGCGTTCAAGGAAGTCATGAGCGTTGTTCCCAAGATTTTGAAGAGGTTGATCGTCACTTTCTTCAGCATTTTCGTTGCAATCTTTTTCTACCTGGTCGCAACTGTGGTTGTCTTGATTGTTTGGGCAATTTCAGTGGGATCAATACCCACTGTGGGTCTTACAGTGTTAGCCATTTTAGTGATTTTGTTCATCGTGGGATTCTTGTATTTGACCACGATCTGGCACTTGGCTAGCTCCATATCTGTTTTAGAAGAAGCGTATGGGTTCCCAGCCATGGTGAAGAGCAAGAACCTGATCAAAGGGAAGCTGTGGTTGGGGATATCCATATTTTTTATCCTTAACCTGGCGATGGGGTTCAACCAGATCGCATTCAAAAGGTTGGTGGTAGAAGGAACCAACATAGGAATGGGTGAGAAGATTGTTTATGGAATCATCTTTTTCTTGTTGCTTTCCACGATGATTCTGTTCGGATTAGTGATCCAGACAGTGATTTACTTCGTCTGCAAATCTTACCACCATGAAAACATAGACAAAGCCGCCTTGTCGGATCACCTGCAACTTTATCTGCTGGGAGAATATACTCCTTCCAAGGCCAAGGATTGTCAGCTTCAAGTCAATCAATACAAGTAACGTAATGTTTGATAATAAGCTGGCTCAAGTATTTAAAATGTAATATCTTTTTACTTAAGTATTTAAAATAAAGTATATCTTTTTTTATTTATGTAGTAATCTATTTTTTCATTATAATAAATATTTTAAATATATTATATTTTTATCTAAGAATTTAGAGTATTTTTTTAATCGATGTGATGTCATTTATTTGATAAAAATCAATGTGATGTTGAGTTAGGTTAGGTTGTGACGGTGTATGAGTCTCGAATACACAAGCACAAGATAGGTTAGGTGGTGACAATGCAGGTGAATGAGTCTCGAATACACGAGCACAAACAAGCTAGATGACGACGGTATATGTATATGAATATTGTCTTCAATAGTTCAGAATGAGTCTATATTTAAAATGTTATATTTATATGATTAAAAAAATAATATTCAAATATTCAATCAAATGTATATCTTATATTGATTAGATATTAAAATTTTCAAGTATTTAAAGATTTATAAATCAATACCTAATCAATGATTTATAATTATAGTATTATGGTAAATGAACACAATAAAATCTGAGGAGAGAAATTATTATTTTTTGCTCAGCAGAAGAAATTTTTTATTAAATAAATCATGAGTCAAGAGTCTCGTTAAAAACCTCCCTAAACTTAAGTGGAGGAAAATAGTACTCTTGACTAGGAGCAAAATACAACTCCAAACGATACAAACGAAACAAAACACAATACACACGAAGATGCCCCTTCAATTTCTAAAGCCCCTTACCAAAGGTAAGGCTAGGAGCAATGCAACGTTACAACAACCAACAGACTTAGTGCAACAGCAGCACCTTCAACCGACACTTTAAAGACTTAACACAAACATCAACTCTAGAACCAGCACAGACAAAACCGGGCTGAAACAAGCAAAGCTAACATCATCTAAATGAAGAACAGAGAACGATTGCATGCTTCGACAATAACGCTCCAGACCATACCTAGAAATAGATTGGTTAACGACCTAACCGACAAAGAGAAAGCCAACAAAACAAGCAGAGCAGCTAATGAAGACTCCAGCACTGTAGAGGTCGTCCAGGCCAACTAGCAACCAAACTTCCAACAGGAATAACCCAAAAGCAATCAGTTCTGCACACCCCATCAAGCGCAAAGCAATGCGCCATTCTATTACGATTACAAGGCATGAACCAACCATTGCACTACTTGATCATCCAAACAACTTTACAAATTTCAGGAAGAACAATTGGATATACTCTTCGGGAAACACCTCTTTGACCAACAAGACCAAGCAAAGCAAAGCGGGTGATTAACTCCCTCACAAAAGCCAAGATACAGCTAGCAAAAGACAATATAGAATGGCAGAGACAACCAGCACAATCAAACTCTAAACTCCTACAAAAACAAACAACAAACAAAAACTTTGCTCCCTTCTTAAAACGTCTGACAAACCTATAGAGAATAATCAACAGAACATTACTAACTGCCGCCAGAACCTAACATGAATCAGTGCAACTTTAATTCATTTCTAACAAAGCTAATTCCTTCACCAATTCCCGATTCTCACCGAAAAATTGGATACCAAGGCTTTTACCCAACTCAAAAGTTTTCTCGGCTTCTTTATATGCAGCCAACCATCTACCTTTTAAATCTGAATCAAATAATGACCTTCCTGATAACTCTGAGGAGTCCAAATCTTCTATCTTCAATTTGAGCTTCTTAAGCACTTGATCCCTTTTTCTTCTGCTTGGAACAGATAAAACTTGATTTTGTAGTCTCAAAAGAGATCCATACTTTTTTCGATTTTTTGTTTTTTCTCAAGTGCTCAATTTTTGGAAATGAATTGACCAAATCATCAGTCACAAAATCAAGGAGAAAAATTAATTTTCTTTAGTTCAAAATTAAAAGGGATTAAAATTGTTTATATAAAAGTATTTAAATTAACTAACAATAATTTTAGTATTATGGATCCAATGTTATGTTTTCAAACGCACACGAGCTACAATAATCGTTTTTATAACAAGAGGATTAAAACAAACTTTTAAATATAATGGAAGGATTAAAAAGTTTCATTTACTGTAAAACAAATAAATGACATCACATCGATTAAAAAAATACATTATTTTTATTACTCATGGACAAGTATTACATTACATTACATTACATTATTTTCATGATCGACTTGCAAGTAGATCAGATCAAACATGAAAAAGCTGAATTTCCTCGGCCTTCAAAAGAGTATATTCTCCCAGAAGGTAAACTTCCAGATGATCTGACAAGGCAGATTTGTCGATGTTTTCATGGTGGTAAGATTTGGAATACAAAGTAAATCACTGTCTTAATCACTAATCCGAAGACAAAGCATAGAGGAACAATCCCTACACCCACTTAACCTATCGGATATAATATTTTTAATCAACTCAAAAATAATTTGAGGATTACGGGATCGTCTCCTATGCAACCTCTCATTCCTTTCCTGCCACACAAAATACACAAGAGCAGTCTATACAATATCAACACATTCATTTTATAAATAAAGCAAGAAAAAATTTATGAAAAATTGCATTTAGAAAAGTTAAACTAATAACTGATTATAGATGGAACTGTTAAATATTTATATATAAAATATTTTAATTATATATTTAAATCTTGAATAATGGGTTTTATTTATTTTATTTAAATCTTTATAGGAGTGTGAAAATTAAGATAAAATTATCCTAGTAATATATTTATTGTACTTTTAAGTAAGAATATGTTAATCATTTTCAACTTAAGTTGACTCGTGACACTAATTTTATTAAAGAAATTAAATATAATATAAAAAATTAATTTTTAAAAATAAATACAAACAATTATATTCAACAGTAGCCTTGACTATTTGATAATTTATACAGAGGAAAGATCTATCTAAGTTAATGTAAAATTAAGTGAGTTTTATATACCTTCATAATTTCTTTTTCTATAATTGATATTTTAACTATCCAATTACTGAATTCAATCCATGTGCTATTCATTTGACTATTCATGCCAACTTTTAAATAATTTGGAAACACATAACTTTTTAATTGTTATACATATCAATAAAAACGTTATTATAGATAAATATATAGAGATATGAGATGGACTTAAAATTGAAGTACATAATAAATACAACTGATGGAACAGAAATCCTCTGCCCCTTTATGTGCTCCTATTTGTACCCCGCCAGTAATACTTTTACACGTGTATTCTTATTTTTATGGCAACACTGCTTAATCTTCTAAAAAATAGTTTCTTCTTTTACTTCATCTTCCTCAACCCACGTCTCCTGTTATGCTTGAAAACACTGCGCATGGTTTCTTTAGTTGGTTGGCGTTTTCAGGCGCTCAGACTCGCTCTCCTTCCCAAACAAATCCCCTAAACGTCTATCTAAACCCTCCATCTCTCAACACTTGAGATCTATCTCTCTTCCATGCAGATCACACTCTTTGATTTCCCAACTCAAAGATGAAATCACTGAGCCCAAAATGTGGTTGTTCAATCCTGAAAACCGAACCTCAACTTGGCTTTCTCATTTGAGCCGCCTAAAGGACGTTCAAGATTCCCTCCATGATATCCTTCAGCTCCCAAAGACCCAGGAATGGGTCGAGAAACTCCTTGAAGAATTCCTACGTTTTGTCGATGCTTACGGAATCTTCCAAACATCGTTTCTCTAGCCCAAAGAATAACAACTCATGACGAGGGTGACTCTAAGGAGAAAAGTCGAGTCAAAGATCGCTATGCATTTGAAAAGTCGCAATAAGTTGGCTAAAGAGATAGCTAAGTTTTTTAATAGGATTTCCATGGCGTTAGCTTCTAAAAAATCGTATCGGATGGGGTTGACGTTGTCTAATAAAGTTAACATGGTTGAGGTTGAGGGAAGTATCAACAAATTCTAAAAAGTTGTCTTGGATGGGGTTGGCGTTGTGAAAAAAAATCGTCTTGGATGTGCAGTGTTTTCAAGCATAACAGGAGATGTGGGTTGGGGAAGAAGATGAAGAAAGAAAGTATTTTTTTAGAAGATTAAGCAGTGTTGCCATAAAAAATAAGAATACACGTGTACAATTATTACTGGTGGGGCACAAACAGAAGCACATAAAGGGAGCAGAGGATTTCTCTTCCAACTGATGTTGATAAACCCAACAATTAAATTATTAAATATCAACAGAAAAAAAAAGTAAAGAAATGTGTTAAAACTTACACTCATCGAAACACATCACAAATTTAGATTAAGAGACGAGGATAGAGGCATGGAAAAGAGGCCGGAGATTTCTGTTGGCCAAAAACACCATCAAATTAAAACAAGCATTATACTGTTTTCATGATCGACTTTCAAGTCGGTCAAACATGAAAAAGCTGAACATCCCCGTTCTTTAAAGGAGTATATTCTCCCAGCAGGTAAACTTCCGGGTGATCCGACAAGGCAGATTTGTCGATGTTTTCATGGTGGTAAGATTTGCAGACGAAGTAAATCACTGTCTTGATCACTAATCCGAAGAGAATCATCGTGGAAAGCATCAACAAACAAATGATTGAATAAACAACCCTGCTGAACATTCCCATGTTGGTTCCTTCCACAACCAGCCTCTTGAACGTGACCAGGATGAACCCAGTCGCCAGACCGATGATCACAAATACCGAAATAGCCAACCGCAGCTTTCCTTTGATCAGTTTCTGGCTCTTTACCATGGCTGAGAACCCGTAGGCCTCTTCCAAAACAGATATAATGCTAGCCAAGTGCCAGACTGTGGTCAAATACAGGAGCCCCACGATGAACAAAATCACTAATATGGCTAACACCGCAACACCAATGGTTTGTATTCCTCCCACTGAAATTGCCCAAATAAGGAAGACGACGGCAGATACAACGAGGTAGAAAAACATGGCAAAGAAAATACTCAAGAAAGTAACCATCAGCCTCTTCCAAACCTTGGGAACAACACTCTTGATTTTCTTGAACGAGACTTCCCGACCTGTATATATGCAGGCGATGGT